ATGGAAGAACATCTGGCGCCTGCTCCTGAAGAGCTCTCCCCAGGGCACGTTCTGGAGGAAGCAGAGGTTGGGGTTCTGGTGGGCCAGCACCATCCCGCTGCTGATCTCCCGCAGCGAGCGCAGGCCCAGCGAGACGATGGGCAGGTTCTGCAGCGTCAGAGCGTAGGCGCCGCTGCAGAGACACGACAGGCAGAGGGTGAGCCCGGAGGAGCAGGCGTCAGAGGGACCCTGCCAGCCCCGTCCTTTGGGGAGGGGGGTCTAGACCTGGCTGCGATCCCCCACGCTCCGTCCACGCCTGGCAGATCTCATGGGGTTCCTCGTGCTGACCGGCCCCATCACCCCTACCCTGGAGATGGGAGAAGATCTGAGCTGCTGGCCGGTGCCACTCACCTTCCGCTGACTAAGAGAACCGGGCGTGTCCCCAACACTTTACCCAGACTTGCCAGGCCCGTCCATTCTCAGGCCCCCACCCCAAGGCCTGCTTGCCCCCCGCCCCGAGGCCCTGCCGGCGCCCGCTCACTTGTGAAGCACCCGTCCTCGGATGATCCGGAGGTTCTGGAAGATGCTCAGGTCGGGGAAGGTCTCTGGCCAGGCCTCGATGTATAAGAACTTATCCCACCTGCTTGTGGGTCTCCCAGATCCGGGGTGACTGCCAGGCCCAGGCCCCACTCCCAAGGGGCAGCCCTCCCCCCCATGCAGCCCTGAGATTTCCAGCTCAGCAGCCTGTGAGCGTTAGCTGGCCGGAGGGGCCGGACCTTGGGAGGAGTCCCTCACCCACCTGTCAGCTCCTCCAGGCTCTCGAAGATCTTGAGCTGCTCCGGGTCCAAGGGCGCCGTGTTGGTGGCAGGATCCCTGCTTGAGAAAGAACCCGGTGGGGGAGGGAGTGCTCAGAGGTGAGTGCAGTCACCAGGGGCCGCCAGGCCAGTACGGACATTTCGTAGCACGCCTCACCTCCCTATCGGTGCACATCACAAAATTCATTCTGCACACGGACATAAGGGCACACACAGAGTACTGACTGAGCCCAGAGGGGCAAGGGGATTTGCCCAAGATCCCACTGGCAGTCGGTGGCAGAGATCTTGAAGGCAGGGGTGCTACATTCTCTGCAAGGTCCAGAGTAAACAGATACTGCCGGGGGTAGGGGGAGCCCTTTTCATCGCTTGTGACCCACTTCCTTGGGCCTGCAAGACCAAGGCTCCAGGGAGGTTTCCGTTTCCAAAAGGGGCTTGAGCCAGACCGCACTGTAATGGACTGGCCAGTGTGTGCACCGCTGCCCCCTCCTGGATAGAATCAGAACGATCCAACTGTGTGGCATAGGCCCTACGCTGCTAATGGCGATTCCCCTTTGGCGCAGGGACTCCCCTAATAGCCAGATCTCTGAGCAGGAGTTAGCCAGATCCTGGTGCCCTCACCCAGTGCCCACACAGGTATCCTTCATCCCATGTAATGGACTGGCCAGTGTGTGCACCGCTGCCCCCTCCTGGATAGAATCAGAACGATCCAACTGTGTGGCATAGGCCCTACGCTGCTAATGGCGATTCCCCTTTGGCGCAGGGACTCCCCTAATAGCCAGATCTCTGAGCAGGAGTTAGCCAGATCCTGGTGCCCTCACCCAGTGCCCACACAGGTATCCTTCATCCCACGCCGCGTCCAGAGCCTGCCCGCCCCTACCCGCAGGGCTGGGAGCTCCCGGGGGCATGGCAGCCAGAGCTGGGCTGGGCTCGCTGGGGCGGTCGCGC